CAGCTCTATTTACAATAGCCCGGAGATGGAAACAACCTAAGTGCCCATCATCGGATGAATGGATAAAGAAGATGTGGCACATGTATATAATGGACTATTACTCAGCCGTAAAAAGAAACGAAATTGAGCTATTTGTAATGAGGTGGATAGACCTAGAGTGTGTCACACGGAGTGAAGTTAGTCAGAAGGAGAAAGACAAATACCATATGCTAACACATATATATGGAATTTAAGAAAAAAAAATGTCATGAAGAACCTAGGGGTAAGACAGGAATAAAGACACAGACCTACTAGAGAATGGACTGGAGGATATGGGGAAGGGGAAGGGGAAGGTGTGACAAAGTGAGAGAGAGGCATGGACATATATACACTACCAAACATAAAGTAGATAGCTAGTGTGAAGCAGCCGCATAGCACAGGGAGATCAGCTCGGTGCTTTGTGACTGCCTGGAGGGGTGGGATAGGGAGGGTGGGAGGAAGGGAGACGCAAGAGGGAAGAGATAGGGGAACATATGTATATGTATAACTGATTCAATTTGTTATAACGCAGAAACTAACACACCATTGTAAAGCAATTATACTCCAATAAAGGTAAAAAAAATTGTGAAAATGACTATACTACCCAAAGCAATCTACAGATTCAATGCAATCTCTATCAAACTCCCAATGGCATTTTTCACAGAAGTAGAACAAAAAATTTCACAATTTGTATGGAAACACAAAAGACCCCGAACAGCCAAAGCAATCTTAAGAAAGAAATACAGAGCTGGAGGAATCAGACTCCCTGACTTCAGACTATACTACAAAACTACAGTAAAGACAGTATGGTACTGGCACAAAAACAGAAATATAGATCAGTGGAACAGGATAGAAGGTCCAGACATAAACCCATGCTCCTATGGTCATTATCTTTGATAAAGGAGGCAAGACTATACAGTGGAGAAAAGGTAGCCTCTTCAATAAATGGTGCTGGGAAAACTTGACAGCTACATGTAAAAGAATGAAATTAGAACACTCCCTAATACCATACACAAAAATACACTCAAAATGGATTAAAGACCTAAATGTAAGGCCAGACACTATAAAACTCTTAGAGGAAAACATAGGCAGAACACTCCATGACATAAATCACAGCAAGATCTTTTTTGACCCACCTCCTAGAATAAGGGAAATAAAAACAAAAATAAACAAATGGGACCTAATGAAACTTAAAAGCTTTTGCACAGCAAAGGAAACCATAAACAAGATGAAAAGACATCCTTCAGAATGGGAGAAAATATTTGCAAACGAAGAAACTGACAAAGGATTAATCTCCAAAATATACAAGCAGCCCATGCAGCTCAATATCACAATAACAAACAACTCAATCCAAAAATGGGCAGAAGACCTAAATAGACACTTCTCCAAAGAAGACATACAGATTGCCAACAAATGCATGAAAACATGCTCAACATCACTAATCATCAGAGAAATGCAAATCAAAACCACAATGAGGTATCACCTAACACCAGTCAGAATGGCCATCATCAAAAAATCTACAAACAATAAATGCTGGAGAGAGTGTGGAGAAAAGGGAACCCTCCTGCCCTGTTGGTGGGAATGTAAATTCATAGAGCCACTGTAGAGAACAGTATGGAGGTTCCTTAAAAAACTAAAAATAGAACTACCATATGACCCAGCAATCCCACTACTGAGCATATACCCTGAGATAACCATAATTCAGAAAGAGTCATGTACCACAATGTTCACTGCAGCACTATTTACAGTAGCCAGGACATGGAAGCAACCTAAGTGTCCATCGACAGAGGAATGGATAAAGATGTGGCACATGTATATAATGGAATATTACTCAGCCATAAAAAGAAACGAAATTGTGTTATTTGTAGTGAGGTGGATGGACCTAGAGTCTGTCATACAGAGTGAATTAAGTCAGAATAGAAAAACAAATATGGTATGCTAACACACATATATGGAATCTATTTTAAAAAATGGTTCTGAGGAACCTAGGGGCAGGACAGGAATAAAGACACGGACGTAGAGAATGGACTTGAGGACATGGAGAGGGGGAAGGGTAAGCTGGGATGAAGTGAGAGAGTGGCCTGGACATATATACACTACCAAATGTAAAATAGATAGCTAGTGGGAAGCAGCTGCATAGTACAGGGAGATCAGCTCAGTGCCTTGTGACCACCTAGAGGGGTGGGATAGGGAGGGTGGGAGGGAGATGCAAGAGGGAGGAGATGTGGGGATATATGTATACGTATAGCTGATTCACTTTGTTATACAGCAGAAACTAACACAACATTGTAAAGCAATTATACTCCAATAAAGATGCTTAAAAAAAAAAAAAGGGAGGGAGGAGGGTCAAAGTAAGAGAGGAGACATGATGAAAGCAATGGTTTAGGGACAGTCTTAGAAGCTGGAGGAAGGGGCTACCAGCCAAGGAATGTGCACAGTCTCTAGAAGCTGGAAAAGTCAAGGAAACAGATTCTTTCTTTGTAGAAGACTGAATAATGGCCACACAAAGATATTAGGTCCTAATTACTAGAACCTGTAAATGTTACTGTTTTCGTTTCCTAGGGCTACTGTAACAAAGCACCACAAACTGGGTGGCTTAAACAGAAAATACATTTGTTTTATCTGAGGTACAAGTGTGAAATGAGGGTGTCAGCAGAGTTGGTTTCTTCTAAGGCTCTGAGGGAGAATCTGTCCCATTCCTATTTTGTAGCTTCTGGTAGCCTGAAGTAGACGGCATTCTCCCTGATTCTTCACATTGCTGTACTTCTGTATGTGTCTGTCTCTTCATGTGACACATGTCTTTTCATAAGGACACCAGTCAGATTGGATCAGGGTCCCACACAATTCCAGTATAACCTCACATTAACTAAGTACATCTATAATGACCCTATTTACAAATAAGGTCACATTGTGAGGTACTGAGGGTTAGGACTTCAACATATGAATTTGGGGGCAGGGAGTGGGGGAGACACAACCCATAACAATTACCTAGGTGATTAAGTTGATCTTAAAATGGGGAGATTATCCTGGATTATGTGAGTGGGCCCTAAATCCAATCAGAAATATCCTTATAAGAGAGAGGCAGAGGGAGATTAGATACACACAGATGACGACCATGGGACCCTGAGGTGACCATGGAGGCCTAGATTAGACTAATGCAGCCACAGGTAATGAAATACCAGCAATTAAAAAAAAAAAAAAAAAAAAAAGCAGCTGAAAGAGGCAAGGAACGGATTCTCCCCTAGAGCCTCCATAGGAAATATGGCCCTGCCAACACTCTGATTTCAGCCCAATGAACTGATTTTTGATTTCTGCAACTAGACACTAGTGATAGCTGCACAACATTGTGAGTGTACAAAATGTCACTAATGGTACATTTCTGTATTATGTGTATTTTACTGCAAATCAAAGTATATATCCCTCAAACTGTGGGCAGGATTGAATGGAGCTATCTTTCTTTGTTAAGGTCAGGATCCCTGTCTCCTCCACATGGAAGCACAAGAAAATCAACTCAAAATTTCTAAGAAATCAATCGTTGCGGATTTTAATTATGAAGTGCAAAGCAAAGTTCTATTGTCAGCCCAGTATCTGCACCCACCAACCAGGCAGTCCTCTTCTCAGGAACCCCTTCAGAGCACTTCTGCCTCTAAGATAAGGAGGCTTCCAAAATATGGATTTTTAACAAATTCAAATAGTTGCAAATCAGAGACTCCATCTAGGCAAGCTTCACTGTCTATGAAACACATCCTTTTTCTGGGCTTCCCCATCTCAAGGATGTCCAGCTACAAGATTGGAAACTGAGTGATCCAGGCCCTCCAGCTTTTCTGGTCACAGTAAAGGTCCACTGTTGGCCTGGCTCTGTCACCCATCTAGGCTCTACTCTCTAAAAAAGGAAGTCAATCAGGAGAAATCCTGGGCTAATAGAACTCAAATCCCCCTTCAGATGTTCTTCCTAGACTTCCTAGATGTTCTTCCTATATTCAGCTCCCTCCATCTCCTGAAATGGTGAGAACATTGATTGTCTTCGCCCTATCTTGAGAGCAGAAAGTGAGTTTCCATTTTCTCTCTTATCCATTACCAAAAAAGGGCCAAATGTGAAGGGAACATTTCCTCATTTCAGCCGTCCTAGGTCAGGGCTGGTCTGCTGCGGTCTGCCCGAGAATGAGGGGCTGGATCTCAACAAGCCCAGGAGACAAGCCCAGGTCCTTCCTAAAACAGCTCTCATTTGTGATGCCAACAGCAGAGCTCACAGCCACAACTGCCAGGGACAGTCCCAGTCTGGAAGTGGGAAGAAGGGTGGAGGGTGTTCCACACTGGGACGCCCACATGGCCTCTGTTGGGAAGAACAGGGGCTTCTAAGCTTAGAGAGGAAGGAACAGGAGACTTACTCAGCCACTCAGCTAGAGAACAGGACTAAGGATAAACTTGACCAAACCAGTCAATGATCCAACTGGCCAAGACTGAACTCTGGACACCTGAGAGAGAGAGAGAGCACAGGAACTCGGACCTGTCCTCAGCAGGACGCCCGCTATGAGCCAACATCCATTGTCATCTGGCCCCAGCTAGCGCCCAGCTTCAGAACCCCTGCAACAGAAGAGAAAGCTGAGGCTCTCACTCTTCCTGACCTCTTGTGGCATCATTTGAAACCTTCAGGGGAATTTGGTCCTGGAAATGAGGTTTCTAATAACTTTTTTCAATCACACCCAATCCTGAGAACTGAATTAGACAAAACCAATTTCTGACTTCCAGAAATATACTCACATTTTGGATAATTCCACAGAATTCTCAGAGCCCTCAGAGAAATGCTTTACCCTCAGAGAAAATGTTATATAATGTTATAGTACCTGCGTGTCTTGGCTTCTCAGCTTTGCGTGCTGAAGGCAGCACCTGGAGGAAAAACCAGGGCCTGCCGGCTGCTCACTAGTGGGGGGCAGAGGACACAGGGCCTGGCCACAACTGCCGCTCAGGAAGCATGGCGTTTGCTTGCAGTTCAGAAGTTTATTAGTGAATGAGTTTGGACCAGCCAGTATTTACATGCTTGGTCACTGCAGCGTAGTGTACTGGCTGCAGACGCGGAGAGGGCTTGCTGCTCTGCTGGTCACTGGTGATGTCACCCCAAGAGAATGATGGGCTTCTCTCCTGAGTCCAAGGTACCAGGGCTTGGAGCCAGTGTCATCAGAGAGACCCTACTTCTGTCTCCAGTGCCTGGGCTGGGGGGATGAGGGTTTTTAAGATCTCCATGTAGAAGGGGCCAAACACCTGCTGATTGTGGTGCGTTAAGTTGACAAACTTTTGGCCCAGTTCTGCCAGCTCTGCCTCAATGAGGGTAAGGCCTCCAGGGAGGTCTAGCAGAGACCGCTGCACACCAAGAACCAAACAGCATTTGAGGAACAAGTGGATCCGCTGACCTGTGAGCAGGAATAGACAGTGAGAAGGGAAAGAGCAAACAACTTTCAGGGAGAAACACTGCCCCCTGCACTCTACTCACCCAAGTTCAAAGTTAACTGAGATAGTCACTGACCTACCCATGCACCTAGACATAAGGAAATTTGTTTTGTTTGGGAAGGGGGCTGCTACCTAACTCCCAAGGACAAAGCAAAGATCCAAAACTAGTGGGCTAGCACATTTCTATTCAAAAGATTCCTTAAGTATTCATCAGTTAAATCCTGGTATTTGACATAACAGGAGGATCTTTGACTGACCCTTCAGATGGCTGAGGTTAAGAGCAAGGTCAAGTTCATGGCCACCATTCCAACATGGGACAGGGGAAACCCCTGCTTTGGGAACATGTCCTCCAGCCTAATTTGGCATCAACTTCTTGTTGGCAGGGAGTGGGTGTCACATGTCTTAGACTGCAGCCAAAAATGACCCAGAAGGCCAGGGATGACTTAAGCAGATTGGCTGGACAGTATGCCACACCTAGAAGCCATGAATTCCCGGTACAAATCTTTCTTCAACCATAGAGTCAGTCTTTAAACTAAAAGGGATATATTTTCAACCCAGCATTATACAACAACTAAAGCCTACACGGTGACTTGCCCAATCATCATGCCCTTGATGGTTAAATGGTTCAGTAAGCACCTTCCAGGGTGGGGACTGGCTCTCGCCTCAGCATTCCCACCACCCCACAGGCACGCTCACCAATGACACTGTGGACACAGTTCTCCTTCTTGGTGATGTTCTGGAGCTCTCCTATCAGCGATGCTGTGTTGTCGCTGCTCAGAGCAGCAAGGCCCATGTTCTGGAGGCTCTGATGGATTTCCTGAGACACCTGTTCACTCACAGTCAGCATAGCCTCCTCCTCAGGCCTAGACCGTGAAGGAGAGTAAGCTGGTACCCAGGGGTGGCCCTGAGCCCCGAAGCTCCACACCAGAAGTTGGGCCCATGTGAGGGAGATGCCCAGCCACCCTTCTGCCCTCACCCCAGGCCCTGGAAGCACAGAGCCCAGTGGGCAGGGTCAGTGTCTTCACTGTTACCCTCCAGATACTGACTTCTTCCTCTGTATGATACCATGTTCTTCTTCTTAGAAAACAAGATAAACTATAAAATCAACTCTGGACAAGGATTTCGTATCCACTAGTATTCTTTAGCCCCATGGGATTTATTCCTGTATGCACACTTTTAACACTTTCTTGGACATTTTCCATGGTCATTTGTCATACTCTCACCAATTACAATGACAAACCTGGCCTTCTGATTCCACTTTTTCCTTTGGTGTGACACCCTGCACTCAGTGATATTCAATCAACATTGCTGACTGACTGGTCGACTCCTGGAGATACGTACGACCAGCCCACTCAACTAGATAAAGACTCTTCTGTAGCGAGCAAGCTAGTGAATCATTTTATAGGAAACTGTCCTCCATGCTACACTTCTGGAAGAAAGTTTTATTTTTCTTTGTTACAAGCCCCAAGGCCACTTATGGAACGATACCAACAATCTTTGTGAATGATTCCAAAGGGCCTTTCTGTGGTTTGTTGTGGAACGTAAGGCATCCTTCATTACCTGCCTGTGCCTTCATATCACCTGTCGTTACTCTAAAAAAGACCTATGCATCTCACCTGGACTTCAACTCCTCCATCAGGGCTTTGGTTATGCGTTTCAGCTTATCCACAAACTGAGGCGAGCCAAACAGAACACTGCCAGAGAAGCTGCTGGCCACTAGCAAGACCGAGGCCAGGATGGTTAACTGGCGCAGCTGGGCCTCCAGCTCCTGCAGCTGGGCTCTGTCCATCAGCAGGGTCTGGGGAAGCAGGCAGAGTGGGTCAGGAGAGGAGGGTCCCCATGCAAGTCCTCAGTCCCAGACAACAAGGCAAGGCCCCCCACAGTCCTACCTCAGGGAACTCTTCATCTTCGGGGTCCCAGAGGAGGAGGTTCAGGAAGCCCTGGGACAGCACCATTTTGGGGTTGAGGGGCTCCGGGCTGTTGGCTGCCTCACTTGGAGAGGGGCAGACCACACTGGAGGAGTCGGGAGAGTCAGGGCAGCTAGGCGGCGGCGTGGAGAGGTCTGCCGCCGCTCGGGTCAGCCACTTGATAGTGTGATCGAGGTGGCCTGTGACAGGAAGAGTGCGTAATTATCTTCAGCTCCTACATCCCGGAGGCCTTGGGACGAAGATTCAAGATCTCCTCCTCCTCAGTAAGTAAATGCTTTGGTGGGGGGAAGTCTTTCTGGCTTAGATTAACTATTCCTTCTGCCACCCCCATCTGAGGAAGAAACTTTCTGCTCCTAAAAAGAGGCAGAGTACTCTCTCACATCATTAAAGTCAGACCCAAAGTCATATTCCCTGCTCCTGCCCTCAAGTTATATACATACTAGGCTGCTTGTTGAGGAGTTCCTGAAATTTAGCTCGTTCACACTGGATGGAATGTTCCTGCAGTTGGGGCTGAAGGCTCTGGATAGTGTAGTTCACCATGTCCATTTTCATCAGGCCCAGAACCTGGAAGATTCCTCTGACACAGGAGGAAATAGAATAGTTATACTATGAAAGGAAATCCAGTGAGGGGGAACCTACACAAGATATCATTAAATCACCATATTCTAGAGGTAGGAGGGGCTTTAAAACTAACTTAGTCCTGCCTCCTAAATTTACAAAAGATGGCACTGAGGCCTAGGACCCAAGGCCCAGAGTGAGTAAGTGAGTGAGTGGCAGAGCTAGGAACAGATAAGTCTCTGGATGCTAAAGCCTTCAGACCTTTCCACAACAGTCATTCTATGTCTCCTAAAAAAAGAGTAGTCAGTGGAAGGACACACACCACCATGCCAACGAACCTCTCTGGAAAGTGGGATTTTAGCTGATGCTACTTCTGATGCTATTTTTGGACAATTCACTTTTTTTTTTTAACTTTCTGGGTCATGGTTTCTATAGCTCTGAAAAAGGGGTAACCTCCCATCCCTATCCCTCATATTGTGTGAAATGCAATAAGAAAACCTGGGATAGGGATGTTTGAATTCCTTAGAAGAAAGGATTACATACTCCAATGATTTATGGTAGGATGGTGTATAGGGGGCCAATCAATCTAAGGCCATCTTTGGAAAAGAAAAGCTAATAGACCAGAGAAAAGAGGAGTTAGTCAGGTCTTCAGTAGGGAAGAGCCAGCCAAGACAGAGGCTGTGACCCAGTGTCCGGCCCAGCTGTGCCCGGCCCAGGGGCTGAGGCAGGTTTCAAGAAACTGGTCAAGTTTCACACCTCAGTAACCGAACAGGGTCTGTGATGTTCTCTAGTTTCTGCACTGCTTCATCTCGAATTGGCGCACACAGCAGAGTCATCATGTTGAGAATGTACTTAGAGAGATGAGGGACATTCAGGGCTCCGTGTTCTGCTTCCTGCTTAAGGAGGTTCATGTCCAGGCCTTCTTCAATCTCACTTCTTAGGCGGTTCTGGCGTGGTAATAGCAGTGACAGCAAGATCTGCCCAGGAAAGAAAGTCAAAGGAGAAGTTGCTTTCTGTTCAGAGCCCCAAACTTTCTCTAATGGACAATCCCTTTAGCCAAAGACATCCCAGCCTATGTCTTTTAAGGATCAAGAAGTTATGGAAAATAGTATGGAGGTTCCTTTAAAAACTAAAAATAGAGCTACCATATGATCCAGCAATCCCACTCCTGGATGTATATCCAGAGAAAACCATAATTCAAAATGATATATGCACCCCAATGTTCAACTGCAGCACTATTTACACTAGCCAGGACATGGAATAAACCTAAATGTCTATTGACAGAGGAATGGATAAAGAAGATGTCATATATATATATATATATATATACACACACACAGCAGAATATTTTACTCAGCCATAAAAAAAGAACGAAATAGGGGCTTCCCTGGTGGCGCAGTGGTTGGGAGTCCGCCTGCCGATGCAGGGGACACGGGTTCGTGCCCCAGTCTGGGAAGATCCCACATGCCGTGGAGAGGCTGGGCCCATGAGCCATGGCCGCTGAGCCTGCGCGTCCGGAGCCTGTTGCTCTGCAGCGGGAGAGGCCACAGCAGTGAGAGGCCCGCGTACCGCAAAAACAAAAAAAAAAGAACGAAATAATATCATTTGCACTGATGGACCTAGAGAGTGTCATACTGAGTGAAGTCAGACAGAGAAAAACAAACATCATATGATACCGCTTATATGTGGAATCTAAAAAAATGGTACAAATGAACCTATTTACAAAACAGAAATAGAGTCACAGCTGTAGAAAACAAACTTATGGTTACCAGGAGGAAAGCAGCGGTGGTGCAGGGTGATAAATTGGGAGATGGGGATTGACATATACACAATAGTATATATAAAATAGATAGCTAACAAGGACCCACTGTATAGCACAGGGAACTCTTCTCAATACTCTGTAATGACCTATATGGGAAAATAATCTAAAAAAGAGTGGATATATGTATATGTATAACTGATTCACTCTGCTGTACAGTGGAAACTAACAAATATTGTAAATCAACTATACTCCAATAAAAATTAAACAAAAAAAAAGTTAGGTCCCTAAATTTCCTAGAGGATATTATTTATCTTTGTGTAGGGGCCAATGACAGTTCGAGGGTTTAGGGGATCACTGATAGCAACAGTATATCATTTTCTATGCAGATTGAGATAAAGAGATGAATAGAGTCAAGGGGTATGGTAAAAAGAAATGCAAGGTACAACAAATATAAAATACACACCATCACACAGTGGTGAGGTACTCTTAATTTACCAAAGGAAGCATTTTTTAGATTATTTTACTTCAAAGGGCAAGAATGAAATAGGCAAAGGAACTGTTAAAAGTCCCTTGAGAGACTGGTTCAAGATGGCGGAGTAGAAGGACGTGCTCTGACTCCCTCTTGCGAAAGCACTGGAATCACAACTAACTGCTGAACTATTATTGACAAGAAGACACTGGAACTCACCAAAAAAGATACCCCACATCCAAAGACAAAGGAGAAGCCACAGTGAGACGGTAGGAGGGGCGCAATCACAATAAAATCAAATCCCATAACTGCTGGGTGGGTGATTCACAAACTGGAGAACACTTATACCACAGAAGCCCACCCACTGGAGTGAAGGTTCTGAGCCCCACGTGAGGCTTCCCAACCTGGGGGTCCGGCAACAGGAGGAGGAATTCCTAGAGAATCAGACTTTGAAGGCTAGCGGGATTTGATTGCAGGACTTTGACAGGACTGGGGGAAACAGAGACTCCACTCTTGGAGCGCACACACAAAGTGGTGTGTGCATCGGGACCCAGGGGAAGGAGCAGTGACCCCATAGGAGACTGAACCAGACCTACCTGCTAGTGTTGGAGGTTCTCCTGCAGAGGCGGGGGGTGGCTGTGTCTCACCGTGAGGACAAGTACACTGGCAGCAGAAGCTCTGGGAAGTACTCCTTGGCATGAACCCTCCCAGAGTCTGCCATTAGCCCCACCAAAGAGCCCGGGTAGGCTACCGTGTTGGGTCGCCTCAGGCCAAACAACCAACAGGGAGGGAACCCAGCCCCACCCATCAGCAGACAAGCAGATTAAAGTTTTACTGAGCTGTGCCCACCAGAGCAACATCCAGCTCTACCCACCACCAGTCCCTTCCATCGGGAAACTTGCACAAGCCTCTTAGATAGCCTCATCCACCAGAGGGCAGACAGCAGAAGCAAGAAGAACTACAATCCTGCAGCCCGTGGAACAAAAACCACATTCACAGAAAGATAGACAAGATGAAAAGGAAGAGGGCTATGTACCGGATGAAGGGACAAGATAAAACCCCAGGAAAACAACTAAATGAAGTGGAGATAGGCAACCTTCCAGAAAAAGAATTCAGAATAATGATAGTGAAGATGATCTAGGACCTCCGAAAAAGAATGGAGACAAAGATCGAGAAGATGCAAGAAATGTTTAGCAAAGACCTAGAAGAATTAAAGAACAAACAAACTGAGATGAAAAATACAACAACTGAAATGAAAAATACACCTGAAGGAATCAATAGCAGAATAACTGAAGCAGAAGAATGGATAAGCGACCTGGAAGACAGACTGGTGGAATTCACTGCTGCAGAACAGAACAAAGAAAAACGAACGAAAAGAAATGAAGACAGCCTAAGAAACCCCTGGGACAACATTAAATGCAACAACATTCACATTATAGGGGTCCCAGAAGGAGAAGAGAGAGAGAGAAAGGACCTGAGAAAATATTTGAAGAGATTATAGTCAAAACCTTCCCTAACATGGGAAAGGAAATAGCCACCCAAGTCCAGGAAGCACAGAGAGTCCCATTCAGGATAAATCCAAAGAGAAACACGCTGAGACACATAGTAATCAAATTGGCAAAAATTAAAGACAAAGAAAAATTATTGAAAGCAGCAAGGGAAAAACGACAAATAACATATAAGGGAACTCCCATAAGGTTAACAGCTGATTTCTCAGCAGAAACTCTACAAGCCAGAAGGGAGTGGCATGACCTATTTAAAGTGATGAAAGGGAAGAACCTATACCCAAGATTACCCTTCCCAGCAAGGATCTCACTCAGATTGGACAGAGAAATCAAAAGCTTTACAGACAAGCAAAAGCTCAGAGAATTCAGCACCACCAAAGCAGCTCTACAACAAATGCTAAAGGAACTTCTCTAAGTAGGAAACACAAAAAAAGAAAAGGACCTACAAAAACAAACCCAAAACAATTAAGAAAATGGGAATAGGAACATACATATCGATAATTACCTTAAACATGAATGGATTAAATGCTCCAACCACAAGACACAGGCTGGCTGAATGGATACAAAAACAAGACCCATATATATGCCGTCTACAAGAGACCCACTTCAGACCTAGGGACACATACAGACTGAAAGTGAGGGGATGGAAAAAGATATTCCATGCAAATGGAAATCAAAAGAAAGCTGGAGTAGCAATACTCATAGCAGATAAAATAGACTTTAAAATAAAGAATGTTACAAGAGACAAGGAAGGACACTACATAATGATCAAGGCATCAATCCAAGAGGATATAACAATTATAAATATATATGCACCCAACATAGGAGCACCTCAATACATAAGGCAACTGCTAACAGCTATAAAAGAGGAAATCGACAGTAACACAGTAATAGTGGGGGACTTCTAACACCTCACTTATACCAATGGACAGATCATCCAAACAGACAATTAATAAGGAAACACAGCTTTAAATGACACAATAGACCAGATTGATTTAATTGATATTTATAGGACATTCCATCCAAAAACAGCACATTACACTTTCTTCTCAAGGGCATACAGAATATTCACTAGGATAGATCACATCTTGGGTCACATCAAGCCTCAGTAAATTTAAGAAAATTGAAATCATATCAAGCATCTTTTCTGACCACTACGCTATGAGATTAGAAACCAATTACAGAGAAAAAAACGTAAATAACACAAACACATGGAGGCTAAACAGTACGTTACTAAATAACCATGAGATCACTGAAGAAATCAAAAAATACCTAGAGACAAATTACAATGAAAACACAATGATCCAAAACCTATGGGATGCAGCAAAAGCAGTTCTAAGAGGGAAGTTTATAGCAATATAAGCCTACCTCAAGAAACAAGAAAAATCTCAAACAATCTAACTTTACACCTAAAGGAACTAGAGAAAGAACAAACAAAACCCAAAGTTAGCAGGAGGAAAGAAATCATAAAGATCAGAGCAGAAATAAATGAAATAGAAACAAAGAAAACAATAGCAAAGATCAATAAAACTAAAAGTTGGTTCTTTGAGAAGATAAACAAAATTGATAAACCATTAGCCAGACTCATCAAGAAAAAGAGTGAGAGGACTCAAATAAAATTAGAAATGAAAAGGGAGAAGTTACAACAGACACTGCAGAAATACAAAGCATCCTAAGAGACTACTACAAGCAACTCTATGCCAATAAAATGGACAACCTGGAAGAAATGGACAAATTCTTAGAAAGGTATAACCTTCCAAGACTGAACCAGGAAGAAACAGAAAATACGAACAGACCAATCACAAGCACTGAAATTGAAACACTGATTAAAAATCTTCCAACAAACAAAAGTCCAGAACCAGATGGCTTCACGGGTGAATTCTATCAAACATTTAGAGAAGAGCTAACACCTATCCTTCTCAAACTCTTCCAAAACATTGCAGAGGAAGGAACACTCCCAAACTCATTCTATGAGGCCACCATCACCCTGATACCAAAACCAGACAAATATACTACAAAGAAAGAAAATTACAGATCAATATCACTGATGAATATAGATGCAAAAATCCTCAACAAAATACTAGCAAACAGACTCCAACAACACATTAAAAGGATCATACACCATGATCAAGTGGGATTTATCCCAGGGATGCAAGGATTCTTCAGTATATGCAAATCAATCAATGTGATACACCATATTAACAAATTGAAGAAGAAAAAACATATGATCATCTGAATAGA